AGTCTTGAGGAGGTTATTTTTTGTTTGTAAAAAGAAGTAACCAATACCATCAATTGGTTTCAGTTATTGGTTTTTTTGGCTTAAAAAAACAAAAAACCTAAAAACCGCTAAAAATAGGTAATATAAGGGTTTTTGCCTTCGATAAGGTAAAACTACTTGATATAACAATTGATAAAGATATAAAGTTTGGGGAACACATTAAACAGTTATGTAGTAAAGCTAATGATAAATGTTTTGTTCTTTCATGCATAAGAATTTTTTTTACCGTGATAAATCTTTTTTGCTGTTTAATGCTTTTATTTTGTCTAACTTATTCTTATTGTCCTCTAATTTGGATGTTTGTTTTTTAAAAAAGATGACAAATAAATAAATAGAATTCACCCAAAAGCTTTAAGTATAGTTTATAAAAGATTATATTTGTCTCTGAATGAATTATTAAATTTTGATAATAGTCCAAGAATCCATTTAAGAAATTTGAGATTTCTTATGATGGAAACTTTTGAATCTATTAATTGTCTAAATCCAATATTTATGAAAAATCTTTTTACTATAAAAAATCTTATGTATAAACTCTCTTGTAGTAAAAAACTCATTCTACCTTCTAAAGGCTCCATATATAATGGTTCATGCTGTATGTTATATAGAGTCACCTCGATTTGGAACACTATAAATAGTAAGACCATGTCCACAAAAAGTATAGAGTTTTATAAAAATATATCAAGAATTGGTGTGGCAATTATTGCATTTGGAAAATTTGTTTTTAAAATTTTGTTTTATTTTATACTGACATCTTTAGCTAAGATTATATTACTATAAATACTTTTTCATAAAATTGAAACAATTGTAACATTTAAAAAAAAATGATTCAATAGTAATAATAATTCAATAGTAATAAATAATAATAATTAAAATTTTTGTGACATTTTTTTTTTTTTTTAATTGTAATTTTTTTTATGACATTTATGTGTGTGTGTTGTCTATAAAGTTAAATGTGTTGATTTAAATTAGTTTTAGTGTTAACTATCTTGTAAAAATCAACATAAAATAAGGTGTTTTAATTAAATTTAAAAAAAGAGAGCTAATCTATTGAATCATTTTTTTCATTTTGACATCATTGTTAAATATTCATAAATGCCATTATTTTCTTTAAATTTCTAATTCAAGATTTACAAGCCCGAAGTTTCTATCAGAGTTTTCTTTTTTCAAAAATTATATTAGAACTTGGATAGAATATAAAAACAGAGTTGCAGAGGTTTTTAGTTAAGAAATATACAATAAATACCTTAATTTTATCTGATAAATTTGGAGAAAGCGATCCTGCTTCTTCTTTATGCAAAAAAAATTGAATAATTCTAAAGAAAAAGATTTGATTTTATTATCACTTTTTTATTTTTTATTATATATAAACATTTTTTTGTTTACTGCACGAATGTTTACTGCAGCAACTACTATTGCTGCAGAACAATGTAACATAACAGTAAAGCAGTAACATGTAGCTGACTTTAATGTAACATATAGCCTTATACTTAAAATGTAACAGAATATTAAAGCTGTAACAAATGTAATGCTGTAACAATGTAAGGTAAAGTATAGTTGTAATGTATAACATGTTTTAATGTAACATATAGCTTTATATTTAAAAACCTTGAAGCATTATCATGAAACTAATTATTTCAAAAACTAGATTCAAAGAGTAAAAAAATTTTATTTTTGCAAAAGCGCAACTACTCGCCAGTGAAATTGTATTTGGAGTATTTCAGAATGATGGAGCTCCTGTCACAGGACCAAGCTTGTGAGCAATTGGTTGAACAAAAATGGAATTGAGGTCATTGGCCCTTTTGGTGGTAATTTACCATACCAGAATCCCATAAAAAATTGCTGAAATCTCTTAAAAATGATGTCTAGAAATTAGGACTCTCCTAATGATCTATGAGAGAAAAATTAAGGAGGATTCAACTAACTACTCCTAATTATTTGAGAAGTTATGATTACTAATATACTTTGATAAAATAAATGAATAATTTATAAATACTTTTTGATGTTCCAAACTTTTGGAAGAAAGCAGTTGTTAGTTGTGCATAATGGTTAGTTCCACTGTTTTGAAATAATAAATTATTTTTAGAATGCATTATTATAAACAAAAGGTACCAGAAAATTAGTAACAGTGTGTTGTGCTGTGAGCGCTTCTGGGAATACTATTCCACCAATGCTTATTTTTCTAGTTTAAAATTTCGTGACTATTTTGTTCGTGATGGTCCAACAGGATGCATCGGAACTGCAAATCTATTCGGATGGATGAATGGACAGAGTTTTTAGCTGTTCATGAAGCACTTTGTGACTCACATACGATGCACCTTACAGTGACCAGCTTTATTGCTACTTGACAATCATGAATTTTACATTAATCTAGGAGTTTTGGACTTTATGAAGGCCCATGGAGTTGTTATGTTGTCCTTTCCGCCTTACTACTCACACAAGCTGCAGCCATTAAACAGATCTGTCTACTTTTCTTTTAAAAAATTCTTCAAAACTGCATGTGACACACGGATGAATGCAAATAAAAGCAAAATAATTTATGACATTCCAAGCTGTGTACATGCATTTCCTGACAATGAAAAACAAAAAAAGGTGGTTAAAGTCAGTGGAATCTATCCATTCGATTGCAAAACTTTTTCAGATATTGAATATATACCTTCAAAAACTACAGACCCCCTAGAACTGGCAGTGACTATGGTACAATTTGAAGTTCCTGCTTTAGCTACTTTCAGTCTAGAACTTTCTGTCTTGGCTACTGGTAATAATAATAATAATAACAATATATGTGACTTTTTATATAAATTTTGATTGTGATAGTTTGCCTTTATTCAGATGTAGAACCAGATAATACTGAGCATATTGGACATATCAAAACTCCACCAGCAGATGTAGCAAAAACCCCACAAGAAATTTTTAAAGAATTTGAAAGCATTCAGCCAATATTGGACATTTCAACACCCTGAGTTTTAAAAAAATTGGCCCCAAAAAAAGAAGGACTCTCATTTTAACAGATACACCGGATAAAAGTAGCAAAAGAAAAGAAGATACTGCAAAGATACAAAAACTGCAAAGAAAGTGCTGAAAAAGAAAATACTTACAATAATAGATAAGGTTATTAAAAGGAAACATGAGACAAAAAAACCTAAAAACCGCCAAAAGTCTTTATTACCCAAACGAAGCAGCATGCATATTAGCAAGAAGCAGCATGCATATACTGCTGAGAACTGTTTGGTGAGTCCAATCCGGGATAAAAGTGGATTACCTGCTCTGTGTGTTACTTTTGGGCTCACAAGGTATGCTCAAGTACAGATTCAAATGCTGCCAAATACATCTGTGACTTCTGCGCTGACGACTGATATATATATATATATATATATATATATATATATATATATATATGATATATATATATGATATATATATATATAATATATATATATATATATATCATATATATATATGGTATATATATATACATGATATATATATATATATCAATATATATATATATATATATATATATATATATCACATATATATATATCACATATAATAAATATATCGCACATATCGCAATAAAAAAAAATTTCAAAAAATATATGTATTTTGGCCACAAGTTTACAAATAAAAAAAAACGTTTCAACTAACCCCGGTCTCCCTAGTTACCATTTGAATTTTATATTTTAATGTTTTATACTATTGTCTAATAGCTTTAAATAGAAATTAAAATATTATTTAATAGAATATTAAAATATTATTCACCAGATCTTTGTAAAGAAATTGCCTAATCTTCTCAAATTAGGACCTTGTAATTATGAAAAATATTGCTAGTGAGTCTAAATGCAAAGTTATCAAAAAGACTAACAAAGTCACGATTGACTAAAAATGTTATGAACCCTATTTGTGCAGTTTATTCAAAATTAATTATCATTATTATGTTTATGAATGGTATATAAAGATAAAAAGTGTTAAAAACTTAAAAAAAAATTTTTTATTTAACTTTTAAGTTTCACTGTTATTAAAACAATTAGTTATTCAAAATAAAAATAGCTCCCGGCCCCGAAAAGTCTTACAAGATTCTAATAAAACTAACGCAAGTTTTAGTTTTATCTAAGCTAAATTATAAAGGCTGAGTATTCCCTAAGAACGTTTTTCCCTGAGTTAAATTCTTTAAGTTCCCTGAGTTTTCCCTGACTTTTCTATATTCTTTCCTGTTCATCAACGAGATTTTCCTTAATTAAACAATCTTTATTTTTGACAAACTTTTACAACAACACATCTTGCAAACTTATTATTATAAGTATTAGCAAAAATTTTTGAAAAAAAAAAATTTGCTATATTTTTCCCGGAATTTTATGAAATTTTTAAAAAATCCCAGAGTTTTCCAGGTTTCCCTGGGATTCATGCTATTTCCAGGTATTCCAGGTTTTCCAGGTTGAGTGGCAACCCTGTAATATGAGCACCATTAATTGGCTTTAAAAGTAACATTAGCTAAGTAAAAAAATACCAACCTGAATATTAAAACTAATTCGTGGAATATAACAATTTATTATTAACAAAACTTATCATTAAAAGATAAAATTTTAAGGCACTTTTTATTAAAACAATACTTTTTTTTTATGGTAAAAAAAATTGATTTGTTACTATTTTCAATTTTATTAACTCAAACCAATAAACAATAAAAATACAATTTTTTAAAATTTAAATTACATAAAGATATTTAGTATTGTTAAAATATTAATTTTTTTTTACTAATTTTGCTTTTCTTTAATAAGTGATTAAAACCACTGCATAATTAAGACTTTAAACTAGCTAATTTCCATGAAAAACACTGGGTAATATGAGCATGCTCATATTACACAAATTGGTATCTTAAAATGATGTCAAAAATAAAATGTTTTTATGCATTGTTTTTCAAACAAAAATGGAACAGATTTCTAGGTAATATATTTTTCTTTTTTAAAAAAATAAATACTATATTTTAACACCAAAATTTTGCTCACGTTCAATTCTTTAACGTTTAAAGAAATATTGTAACAACACAAAAAATAGATCAGCGTTTTAATTAGATGAGAGCTGCTTATTACTGTGTATAAATTTACATTAATTACACTGCTTCCTTTCCTCCTTTTCCTAGACTTTCCTTCTCTGTAGGTTTTCATACACTTTCCTTCTCTGTAGGTTTAAAAATTACTCTGTAGGTTTAAAAATTACAAAATATATTTGTTTAGAATTATTTTAAGTTGCCTAATTTTTTTTGTATAGTGCGCAGTAAATTGTAAATATTTCTTTTTTAAGGAAAATTTTTTTTTTTTAATTTGTACATCTCTCTATATAAATGTTTATGAGCAACCAAATTTGCAGGTAATGAAAAAATAAAACAGATTAAAACATAGATAAAAAGTGTATTAATAATAAAAATTATTTACAAAAATCTTTAAAATTTTCTTAAGCAAATAATACATGAAACAAAGCACAACACACAAACCAACATTACAATCCACACAAATGTATATTGTCTCTGATCTTAATTTGTTCTCAGAGCATACAAGATACCTTCTACCAGGTTTGACAGTTTTCTCTGTAGATGGAATACTTTCAATGAAATAATGTTCTGTTAATCGTAAAGAAGAAGGTAATACACGAGTGCAACTTCTATTTTTCCCTACTGATTCATAGTATTTTACAATACTCTCTTTAATAATTGATTCTCTGAACTGTAAGGGTGTCATTTGATAATAACTTGTTTTTTATAATATTTGTTTTGAATGCACAAACACTGATTAGGTGCATTAAAATATCTTTATGTACCATTTTTTACTCTTTGTCTTTCAGATTCATAGGTTGTCAACATTTGGCCAGATAGGTCAACGCTACCCATGTTTCTATTATAACCATGTATCACTAGAGCCACCTTTTTTTCTTTACCAGCCCTATTAACGATGACTATATTACATGAAACACAGGTACTCAGCATGTACATATCTTTCTTTTCTCTCCATATGGTAAAAATAATATTTGTTTTTGTATCATATTGTACTAAAATATCACCTGATTCTAAGAATTCTTTATATTTTGTGGTAACTTTTTGCGATAAATGCGTAATGTACCAATACAACCAGTATTATGATTTAGCAACACCTTGCAAATTTCATAAGATGTGTATTAATTATTATTAAGCAAGCAACAACCATTTCCAATCAAGTTATCCATTAGTGTAATAATAATTTTATTAGCTTGATATTTGTATTTCTCTAAATCAGGAGCAATAATGTTACTTATTTCAGTTCCAGTGTACAGAAACCAATTCCAAATATATATTGTGTGATTCAGAATCACACAATATAAAAGACTTCATACCAAATCTTGAATGTTTGCTTGTAATGTATTGCTTCCAACTTAAATGATCTCTCCAAAGCAGTAGTGTTTCATCTATTGATATATTTTTATGTAGTACATACATAGTTTTGAACTTGTTTACTAAGCAGTTAAAGATTGGTTTAATCTTTGCATTTTTACTTTAGGTACTCAGGTACTCACAGGTACTCAGCATGTGTACATCTTTTTTATCTCTCTGTTTGGTAGGAAATTACTTTTCATATTAATGGTGTGTCAAAAAAAAAAAAGGGTTTGGTACACATTATATTTGTTTTTGTATCTTCAAATAACAGTTGTTAAAAAAATCATAGGACATTACTTTTTGTATTAATGGTGTGAAAACAAAGGTTTTATTGAAAAATACATTGCATATGTTGATTTCCACAAGATTCCATGATGTAAAATTAATGTACAATCTGACATCATTTCTGGCTAATAGTATCCATTTCTGAAATCTAGATCTAAGTTTGAGATCATTATTTTTACAATATTCTGCTGCAAAAATGTTACTTTGCTCTACAATTAGATCAACAAGCTCGTCGGTTACAAAAGCTTTAAATCAAGTAAGAGGGCTACTATCAACAAAGAAACTTGGGTGAGGTCCTGGGTTTCCTTTAAAATTAACAGAATTCGCTTTATAATTATCAGCATTAATCCAATTTGGTTTGTTGTGTAAAATATTTTCTCCTAATGGCATAATATCGATGTCAACAGTTTTATTATCATCGTAATATCGATGTCAAAAGTTTTATTATCATCAATAGTTTTATTATTATCTTGAAATTTCTTCTTCAGTCACAGATTTTATTGATCCTTCATCAGAAAAATTATTATTAGAACTTAAGTCAGACAAATCATCACTATCTTCATATATTAAATTAGATCTTCAACAATATATTTTCTTTTAGGATAAGATTTTCTTGTGGTAGCCATGTTTACTTTTTTTACCTACTAAATTTGTGCAGTGTCAATTCAAGCTTTAAGCTATATTTAAAAAATACTTTAGAGTATGTGATGAAGATTATACTTTTATTGAAAGTTAACCCAATAAAATTGTTAAACAAAGTAACATAAAATGTATCATACCTGATTTGTTCTTTAGCCTATCTTTGAAACAAAAAAATCACACACAAACTGTACAACAGTTCCAGAATGCAGTTCTAGATAACAGTTCCAGATTGCGGAAATAACTGTCAGACAAATAGCTCAACATTTTCATTAAACAGAAATATCTGCCAGACACACAAAGTGTTACACCTTTCAGAGATGGATATATCCGTCACACACAATTATGGGGTTAAAGTCAATTAAAAAAATACAAAACAACTTGAACTTTACTGCTCACATCTTAGAAATCTTAGAAATGTTTAATACAACATGTTTAATACAACATGTTTAATACAATCGCAACAAAACAAATTGTAAAAAGCATAACTAAAAAGCTACGCTTGACACTGAAAATTTTTTAAAACTTAAATAAATAAATTATAGAAGTAATAAGAACTACTAATGTTAAATTTTTTTTTTTAAATACATTCATTAATCATGGTAGTATTCATTTTAAGCTGTATCAATAAATAAAAATAAACAAATCAAGTGCATAAATAAACATTTAAAAACCTGACCTAGTCTTTTTCTGTAGATCTTCAGTTAAATGTAAAATATGCTCATTAAGAAAGTCAATTTTTTCATTGCGTTTTGCATGTATTCGTTGAAGTTTACAAATACGTTCAATTAAAACTTGTTTATCGATCTCAATATCTCCAACACTTCGGTTTTGCCCTCGACGTGGTTGACTGATGTAGTGATCATCAGAAATCTAAAATAAAACGAAAAACAATGTAAATATATTTAAAAAAAATGTTATCATTATTATTTTAACCATAGCAACAGAAATTAACCTTTAATGCTTGACATTTAAAACAAATGTTCAAATTTTATTTTTTTCCTTAAACAACTTCTAACAAACATTATTTAAGTTACTAGAATTTAACAAAAAAAATTGAGTATGAGTGTTACAAGTGTCATTTAAACTGTTGTTCTCAGTTGTAAATAATGCATTTTCAACATCGTGTTATGTTTACAATTTAAAAATGCAAATTTGGTGAATGTAATGCAGGTCATACAAGATTGTCCTTTGCTTGGTGGAGCATTTAAAAAAGGAAAATATAACAGTTTATTTGAGCAAAAACCATGGTAATGTCTACAAAAATGGGACTTGGGCTCAGGTTTTACCAACTACAACCGGTCAATAATGTGTTTTTGAATCTTATCTTATTAAGAAATAGCATTTTTAACTTAGTTATTCCAAGTATGACAAAAAATTCCAGTTATCTCGTATTGGAGTTAGGATGGATGCCCAAACCGATGTACCTGTGACCGATGTAACCAGTGTCTAAATTGGCCTGGATAATTTAATAAATGAAACCAAAATTTAAATTGGGTATATGGTATATATATGAGAGGTTAGTAACCATGGTTTTTATATGAGAGGTTAGTAACAAAAGATAATTTAAGTAGATCTAAAGTTGTCCATCAAATACTACATTAAAGAAACATTAAAGTGCCAAGAAAAGTTATGTTTTTAAGAGATTAATTAGAGAGAATGTTTTTACAAATAGTGTAATAACCTTATTTTTGGGAGTGGTAATAAGATCAGATGTATGAGAGATGGAATGTTAGACTTTCTTTTGTTAACTACATTGTTCAAAGATTTTTCAAAAGTTTTTAGAAACTGATATGTTAACAACATTATTCTGCTAAAAATTGAAAATATGGAAGCTTTTTTTTCCCTTTAGTTGGTTTTAAGTCAAGCTTAAAAATCTAACCCATAGTTTCTCCTTTTTGTGCTACTATTTCTAATCTTAATTATTTTTCAACTTTTCCACAAAAATAACTTCTTCAGCTCCAGATAACAGGAATGAGCTGTAGAAGTTGTTTTTGTGGAAACATTTGAAATATCATTTGAATATCCAAATGACATTTCTGTAACAGTCCTCCAAAAATGTTCTCTAGAACCATTTTTGTAAAAAACTTTTTTTTAATAATTTTTATCTGTTAAAGTAAGATTCATTTGTTAACTAGTATTTGAAAAGAGTTTTACAGAACAATTTTGAAAAACTGTGAAAGGTATGAGCCACAAACTATAAAAAGGTTTAAAATAGAAATAACTTTATAAATTGATTAGAATGTCAAATAATAAACTAACTGGTTAGTTCTGTATTTTAGAAAGTGTGGTCAGAGAATTAACTATACATACATTCATACATACATACATACATACATACATACATACATACATACATACATACATACATACATACATACATACATACATACATACATATGTCTATGTATGTATGTATGTATGTATGTATGTATGTATGTATGTATGTATGTATGTATGTATGTATGTATGTATGTATGTATGTATGTATGTATGTATAAATGTATGTATGTATGTATGTATGTATGTATGTATGTATGTATGTATGTATGTATGTATGTATGTATGTATGTATGTATGTATGTATGTATGTATGTATGTATATATGTATGTATGTTTAATTTTAGATGTAATAAGTGATACCATAAGTGGATCTGAAGATGACTGAGGTGAATTACTCAACAATTTTTCAAGGGATCCGTTTGATGAAATGTTAGACTTTGCATGGAGATTTTCAGTTGATCCGCTTTCTAATTTATCAATTTTTCTAAAATATAATATAAAATTATATTTTATGAGATTAAAAACTAAATAAATAAAAATAACATTACATTAAACAAAAACAAAAATGTAAATGTAAATACTTGGTTGTTACTGAGAGATGTTTCTGTAAATCCTGAAGTCAAACAAATATCAATAAAAATAGTTGTAAAAAATTTGTTTTAAAAGTCTAAAAAGACAAACAAAAGTGCTAAGTAACCTTTAACTGAGCTGCATTTTTTTTCTTGATAATTTTCAAGTCATCATTTGCTTGGTTTAATAGATCCGAAAGTTCAATAACTTGAAGAAAATATAAACAAAGAAAATAACAAACCATTTATTAAGATTATTAAGTAAATATATTACATCATATTACAACATCATATTTAATTTATAATTCACTTAAGAAATTTAAAAAGAAAAAAAAACTAATCTATTATTTATTTATATTAATTAATATTTATTGTATATTGTTAAACAATATTAAAATATACACCTACTAAAATATTAAATATACACTAACTAAAAGGTGCTGGGAACTACTAAAAGATGCTGGGAAGAATTGATACTTTTTTACAATGTAATATGTTCTTCTTTTGTAATAGAAGAATAACTTTAGTATCATTAACATTTCTCTCTCATATCGTGTATTCAGATGCTTGTATTTATATACTCTCTGTGTCATGTATTTAATTGCATAACTAATTAACTAACTCTTTTTTTTTAGCTATAATTTTAAGATATAATATTGAAATAACAATATTTATTAGAAATACGCTTAAGCATATTTTTGTGTCTTTTAAAACTTTTTGCATAGGCATAGCAAGCCTGTTTCCAATATTTCATGGGCTTATAAAAAAAAAACTTCATTTGATAGATTGATTTAAACTGTCCTCCAAAACATTAGTAAAATAGAAAATTCAATTTTTTCAAATTTTATTACTGATTAAAGGATTTTTTTTTTTTAAAAAAAAAACAACCTTTTAAACAAAATAAAATTGCTAATGTTACAAATAAGGACAAGATTTGTAAATAATATGACTACCTGAAAATGAATAAAGAGGTTGGTTTGCATATAATGGTATTTAAATGTAAAAATTTATCCCATTAATGTCAAAAGTCATTAATGGCATAAATTTAACTTTTTAGGGTCACAAAACATCTTTTAGGCATAGATTTTTATTTTTAAACATCTTTACTTCCAAGGCTGCAAGCAACCACTATTAGAATTGGAATATACTGGAAAAGAAAAGATGAAGTTTATAAAGCAAGATAACGATTAATAGACAACTTAAAAGATTGCAAATTATATGAATCAGGAAAGCAAGATAAAGGGAGCGAACTGATGTTTAAGGAAAAAAAATTTTGGAGCACTTACGAACTTGTTACATATACCACTTTTCTCAGTCACAATTTTACTGACTTGATGATGCACATCAATTAAATTAAAGATATTTGATTTAAGTTAATTTCAATTTTTGCATTATAAATCCCAGCTACAACCATTTTAAACCACTACTGAGTGATTGGTGGAAAAAATTGTTATTAAATTGTGGGAAAGTCACATAAAATGTTCAAGTTTGGTTTATAAAGAGGTTCAAAATCCCTTGCATCGTTTGCAATTTAGCTTTAGATAATTTTATTCTGAACAATACTACTTTGATTTATCAACTTAAAGCCATTAATTAAATAACCTTTTACTGTGAACGACAAAAATGAATTAAATGGATTGGTAAGATGGCATTTTTTAACAATGATTTTCTTTTCCTACTTAACTTGATAAACCTGATTGTTTGTCTATTGTCATATCCAAAATTTGAAAATTAAAAATCAAGGTGCAAAATTAGATTTGAATAGAATACTAATTACTAATTATAACTGAATTACTAATTATTAGATGATCTAACAGATGATGCAAAAATAATTTAGATTAGAGCAATCTTTATGCCATTTAACTAAGGATTTGACTGATACTTATTCACTACATTCAAAGTTTTTTTTTGTTCCTAAACAATTTTTAAAAATGCGTGTGTATGTGTATATATATATATATATATATATATACATATATATATATATATATATATATATATATATATATATATATATATATATATATATATATATATATATATATATATAAGTCTGAATAAAAATCGCAAAACAAAACCAAAACCAAAACATAACCACAAAGCCTCACTTAGTAGAGTGCACACTAAAAACTCTGAACAAAAGATCAAAACTGCAGTGTAATTTCAAAAAACTATTATCTCAACTTTACAAGTATCCAACTATTCCAAAGTTAATTATCAAAATCTTATTAAATGATTTGTCACTCTCCTACTTGTAAATAAAGCAATTGTAGAAATTTTTATATACGATGACATTTTCATTCACAAAAAAGAAGAGAAACGATAGTCCAGTCACACTGCTGAGATTGAGAAAAAGATTATTCGACTTAAAGAAATTATTCTCAAACTTAATGTTAATAAAATTAAGTAAATTTTTTTAAATTTTGTTTTGTTTTTTTAAATTTTGTTTTATTTTATTCAAATTTTGTTTAGTTTTTTTAATTTTTGTTTAATTTTTTTTTAATTTGTTTTATTTTTAGGTTTTATTCTTAATTAAATGTTATATATATATATATATATATATATATATATATATATATATATATATATATATATATATATATATATATATATATATATATATATATAACATTTTTACAATTTATGTCAATATTCTTAAGATTTTTCTGTTTGGTGCATCTGGAATTTCTGTGCAACAAGCCATGGTAAATCTCAATGTGATAAAATAGGTGGCACTGTTAAAAGTCGCAACTGCTAGCTTGCACAGTTCAACCACAGGTCAAGTACTGTCTCCTTAAGCAATGTTTGAATACGGTCAAAAGTCAATCAGTGGGATTATGTTTGTCTACGTCACAAACATAATCCCACTGATTGACTTTTTTTACTATTTTTCAAAAATGTTTGCATTTTTTTTTTTTTAAACATACATTTGAGCCTGCAATCTAATATTTAAGCATGCAACCAATATTTTAAAATAATACTTAATTTACAAAATTTAGTAAAATTTAGTAAATGCTAATTCTGAAAATAAATAAACTTTTGAATTGCTTTTTAATAGACAATATGAGAGTTAATATTTTTTATTTTAATAGTTTACATACATCAAAAATAAATTGCTAAATTTATTAAATTAAATTTTTATTATTGAATCATTATTGAAAAGCATGTTTAATGATTTAAATAAAACCTGATGATTATAAAAATTATTAAAACTTAAGTTCTTTAATTTGAATTACATAACATAAAAACAATATTAAAAAAACTGAACTCATTAGTTTAATTGACGGGTTGAAAAGCTCACTTATTTAAACCTTTTTCTTTTAAAGAGTAATTGCATAGTTGATATAGTTATGTATTCTACTATTCTACTTTGAATAGACATAAGACGCTGTAAAAGAAGTGTTTGTTTATCTTTATAGTTGTTATCTTTATAGTTAATTGTTATCTTGCTTCACGCTAATTCATTGTGATTTTTAAATTTTTTTATTTAATAACATTTTATTCAAAAAGAAAAAAAAAAAGACTTTTGTAGATTATAATAATAACAGTTAATGCTGTTGAGATAAAGAGCCAGACAATATCTATGACAGTCGGTATAAATTAATTAATGAACAATTTAATTCAGTTACTAAATAATAAAAACATTAATAATAAGCTTTCTTGGTTTTTCTCTTGTTTTTAAGTCGACCGATTGCAAGTTTAATTTAAAGCTTTTAACTGTAGTATATTGAACAACTTCTGCTGACTATTCCATCTATCAATGACCCTATTGCTGAAAAAATATTGCCTTTTCAAACAATTTCTAACCAATTCAGGTTTCATTCAATGTTTTGTTCCTCTAATGTTAGCTGCAGGACCTAAAGAGCAAATAGAATTCATTGTTTGATTTTGTATAATATCAATTATTTCAATACCCTTAAATATTTTGAATTGCTGGATTAAGTTGCTTCTTAGCCTTCTAGTCTCTAAAGTAGTCAAACTCAAAATTTTCTATTCTTTTTTCGTAATGTCTTAGCTCCGGTATCATTTCGGATGCTTTTTGTTAAACTTTTTCTAGTTCATTGTTATCTTTTGCACATGCTTGAATCAAAAACTCTAAATTTGATCTAACATGTACAAAACAGTGTTTTTATTAAATCTTTATCCTTGTATTGAATGTATTATTTAGTAGTGAGAGCATACTATTTTCTTTACTAGCTGCATATTTTACTTGTTTGGCCCATTTCAAATCATTTAATATATAAACACCAATGTTTTTTTCTAGTTTCGACTTTTCAATTTCCATTAATGTATTATTATTGTTCATTAAATACAAATATTCTTTATTATTTGAACCAAAGTGCATAATTTTAGATTTTTCAAAATTTAATCCTAATTTCCATTTTGTAGACCATTTGTCAAATTTATTTATATCATTTTGAAACAATTGTTAATCATTTTGAGAAAAAATAGGCACAATTATCTTATTATCATCAGCATATAAACGACATTTATTAATAAAATTTTCTGGTAAATCATTTATAAATACCAGAAAAAGGAGAGGACCTAGAACAGACCCTTGTGGTACACCACTAAGTACATCAACCCAATCTGTCACACTTTCACCTAAAACCACTCGATATTTTCTATTAGTTAAATAACAGACTATCCACATAAGAAGTTTACCAGAAATACTAAAAGTCAATAACTTGGATAACAAATACCAAAAGTCAATAACTTGGATAATAACTTTTTATGAGAACAACTATCAAAAGTTTTTTTACAATACTTTTTTTACAAGTCTGTGTACAATACATATACCGGTGTTCCATTATCATTTGATGTACAGCTCTCGCTTTTCATAAACCATGTTGTTTTTTTGAAAGTAAATTATTTTTTATGAGGTGTTGCATGATACAATCAGCTATTATTCTTTCCAACACTTTACATGGTATTGAAGTTAACAAGACTGATTCGAAGTTAGATTAATTTGCTTCCTTTTTTAAAAAGTGGCATCAAATTTGCCTTCTTACACATATCTGGTAGGGTACCTGTTGCCATCAAATTTTTGAACACTAAATACAATGAGTATGATATTGACAAACTGCATTCTTTTGTCAAAAACAAAACAAAAGGATGAACAAAATCAAAATCGACTGATTTCGACTTATCAAGTGCTTTAAGTCTTGTTTGAACATTATTTTGTGTTATTAAAACTGTGTTTAATAATAAATTAGAAGGCATATAATGAAACTCAATAATACTTGTACCATTATTATTAAGATTTTTTTTTTTTTTTTTTTTTATTTGCATTCACTCCCAACAAGGCTGCAAGCAACCACTATTAAGTTGGGAGTTACTAGGAAAAAAAAGAACGAGGTTATAGAGCAAGGAAACGGTTGACAGAAGACTTGAAAAGTTGAAGGTTGTATGAGTCAGGAAAACATAAAGATGGGAGAGAGTTCCAAAGGATTGAAGTGTGGGGAAAAAAACTAGATGAATAAAAGTTTTTAGAGCATGCAGGGACAGATACAGTAAACGAATAAGACTTAGCTGAATGACGAGTAAAACGAGAATGAATTTTAGTTGATGGAACTAGAGATGATAACTCCTTTGAGCAGTGACCATAATAGTATTTGTAGAAAAGAGAAAGAGATGCAACTTTATGACAATGGGAAAGAGGTTCAAGCTTAACATACACAGAATGAAAATATTTATTAAGTTCAGTAGCTATAGCAAATTGATCATTTATGATTTCCCCATTATCAATTTCCAGAGCTTGAATTTGAGTTTTCACTGATTTCTTCTCATTGATATTGCTTTACAAATAAAGCAATTTAGGATTTGATTTAAACTTGCAAGCTATAGTACTTTCTAATTGTTTTATATTGTTCTTAATATCATTTTTTATTCAAATTTTCAACATATTGTACTGAGTTTTTGTTGATTCGTCATTCCAGCCATTACGTTTGTTAGCAAGCCATATATTGTTTTTTCTTATTTTATGTTTCAATTCAGAAGTAATCCATTTGTTTCTGTTCCTTCTATTTTGATAAACAGTTCTTGGGATAAACAGATTACACCTCCTCCATGAGTCTTTCTATTGCTTCTGAAAATATTATAACTAATTATGTTCACATCTGATTCTGCTTTAAACCAAGTTTCTGTAACACAAATAACATCCGGTTTATATATTTCACATTGTAACTTCAACTCATAAATCTTATTATTCAGAGATGTTGCATTTGTGTACCAAATCATTGGTTCTTTGCATTTTTGAGTATAGTGTTCCTTTTTTTAATGCTTAAATCACATTTCTTACGCTCATGAAAGTTTACTAATTTAATATCTAGCTGTCTCTTAGCGCTTAGCAACTTATTAAGACTGTGAACTCCACCACTGATTTGTTTTATTGTTAGTTTCATAGTTTAAGCATTGTATGTGATTTAAGTCACATTTAGTTGCTATTTTTTTATTTTTACAACCTTGTCATTTCTAATACCAAAGTAATAGTTTGCCGTGTCAATGTTGTCATTATTTCGTTTTTTCAACTTTTTTCTTAATAGCTTTGATTTATACCGTTCAGATTCAGTCAAATCAGGATTTATAAATACGGTTTTATCTTTCTTCAATTCTGTGGCATTTTTTATATAATAGAGATTATATATAATATAGATATATAGATTAAAATATAAAAAAGTAAGATTAAAATTTTTTACAAAATAAACAATAAATTAAATAAAACAGCAATATAAAAATATATTAAAGTAGAATTTAAAAAATTTGGGAATTTTTTCTTAAAAACATTAAGGATGTTTAAACAAGGAAATATCAGTAAAAAACTACAAAAAATAATAAATAATAAAAGTTTGCAAATTTGACTTTCCCTGAAATAAAGATGGAATGAAATAAACAATAAACTAAACATGAACTGGAAAAACTTGGATTGTGAAAAAATAAATTGAAACACAAACAAAGCAGAACCATTACAGAGTGAAATGAAAAGAAATTCAAATTAAGAACAATGAGCAAAAATAGTGTTAAAAAGTATGTGGTGTTCAAAAAAATAAAATTTTCAAAACACGAATACACAAGAAGCCATATTTAGAGCAAATACAAAAAAAGTACAATTCCAAAAAAAAATTCCAAAAATATTGACATTAACTTTGTGCACAAGTGACAAAATACACCAAAAAATGCTCCAAGTTGTTCCTAACTTATTTGGCCTTGAGCGCAAGGTAAATCTCTATATTTTATAAAATTATTTTTTCTAATGGTCATAAGGTTATTTTTATACTATTTTCAAATGGTCATTTTCATAATGGTCCAAAATTTTTTTTTAGATAGTTTTGTAGGATACATAATAGTCTTAACACAATTGTTTAAATTAAAAAAAGATTTCACATAATTTATACCAAAAAACAACATTTTTTGCATGTTAAATATTAATAGTTTAAATTTTATGGCCTAAAAACTATAATTTTTTGACAAAAAATTAAAAGTACATTTTTAAATTTTTTTTTTTAAATAAACTTTTGTAATTTGTGCTTTCATAAATTGTTTTTATTATTATTAAAATTTTCATAAAATTTCACTTCTTTTGAGACCCAACATGATATACTTTTGAAAAACTTTTTTTTTCAAAATATTAGGGACCCGTTTGAAGCTTAAGGGTGTTGAGCAACCCCTAAAATATTATTTTATTCAAATTTTTTTTTAATTTAGTGTTAATTTATTACAAAGAACACATTTAGGGGGTGCCAGCAGACAATTTCAAAAAAAGCTGCTTTAATTGGCACTCTAATATATATATATATATATATATATATATATATATATATATATATATATATATATATATATATATATATATATATATATATGTATGTATGTATGTATGTATGTATGTATGTATGTATGTATGTATGTATGTATGTATGTATGTATGTATGTATGTATGTATGTATGTATGTATGTATGTATGTATGTATGTATGTATGTTACATACATACAGTATGTATGTATGTATGTATGTATGTATGTATGTATGTATGTATGTATGTATGTATGTATGTATGTATGTATGTATGTATGTATGTATGTATGTATGTATGTATGTATGTATGTATGTATGTATGTATGTATGTATGTATGTATATATAAAGCATTTTTTTATTAGTTTAAATTTTGAATATTAAACTTAAAACATAAGAAACTGTGAAATCAAAAGTATTAAAAAAAAAGCTACCTGAAAAGTTTTTTTGATCCAGTGTTTTCTTCAATTCATCAACTTGATGTAAAAGTTCATTTCTTTGATTTACAAGAAGTTCTATCTAGTTTATTAATAAAAAAGAAAATCAATATAATTTATTTTATTTTTTATTTCATAACCTACACATAATAACATGCACATATTTTTTTCATAACCTTTCTTACCATACCTTATAGAATATTTATTGCATTTAATTAATTCTTTCTAAATGTTTAAATAAGTATATGTATGTTTCGAAACTAAACAAATTGTGTCACAAGCAACTATGAAAACTTAAAGTTTTTTTAATCTATTTGCAATTTTATCAAAGTTTTTAAAATGTCTTTTTATGCCAGTGGTCTTAAGTACAAGAAATCATCAATCAAAAAGTTGAAACCTGTGAAAAAAGTATGTTAATTGTGCCTTTTTTGTTTTCTTTTAAAGTTAATCATTTATGGTTCTTCAATATGTGTTGAACAAATTTTCATAATACCACTTTTTTTTAAATATGACATAGTTGTATCAACATTTTACACATAGATGCTCTTACCTGTCACAAAGAGCCCTGCATATTATTAATCTATTACAAAGAGCCCTTCCTAGTATCTGTTTTATAGATCAGGGCTGAGCATTTAAATAATGATACTACTAATAGGAGAAATTCAACATTTACAACCTCACTCTACTCTTTTTCATAACCAGATTGTATTTTTTTTCTCCTAGATAATTTGCATAACCATTGTATAAAATACAGAAAATATCAGCAAAAAATACAAAAAATATTAGAAAAAAATACAGCAAATATCAGCAAAAAATCAGATCCAGAGGCATTTTCATTTAACTACAATACAATTGTTATCTAAACAACTCTGAAATGATTACTAAATTTATGATTACATTAATAACACAACTTCAGCACCTAGAGATTTTAGCCTTAAACAAGCATCAAATTATTACAGAAATTATTTACTTTCATGTTTTATTCAAAAAAAGGTTGTTGTAAAAAATGACTATAAAGTACTCATTTATTATTTAATAAATTAGTTAACAGAAATGGAGAAGTTTGGTGAAAATTTTGAGTTTTGTTTTTTGGATTTAAAAACAAAATACTTTTTATATAAAAAAGACAGATAAAAACAGATGTAATAAAACAAAAACAAATGTTTAACAAAAATTTGTACGATAAAAACAAAACAATATAACTTTATGTTTATTATAAAAAAAACAAAAAAATAAACTAGTTTTTCATTAACAACTTGTTTTGTTAATACAAAAATAACATTTGCCATTTTTAGATATAATTAGATATCTGCGTAAAATCAATTAAACTGACAGTTGATTTACCATACCCCAAAAAATTTGATGCAATTCACCCCCTAAGCAATATAACTTTTGATATGGTTGATTACATTAAAATTTACATTTCTTATGGTTCTCATTAAAAAGTTACATTTCTATGGGATCCATGGTGTTGCTAATTATCAATTTTCTTTGTTTAACCAAGATCCTAATCAGTCCATTCAATTAATGGTTTTGAATCCATAAAAAAAGTTGTCAAATATGGTGTTTCACAGAGTTCTATTATTGGGCCTGATTGTTTTTGATATATTGTCAACCGAGAACCAAGAGACTGTATGTCCACATTTTGTGTTTTTTCTGTTTATCATCAATAAATATTCAACAATCAATGGAGTATGTGTCTAATAAATCTAGTCTCATAAATGATACAACTTTTAAAAACATTAGAAAGATTAGTCAGTATATTAATGACCTCACTTTATAACTAATTCTGCTGTACATCATTTATGTATTTCACATTGGAACAAAGCAATAATAATAACTGAAAAAAAAAAAAGATCTTTTGTTACAAGCTTTGTATAATTAAACTTTTTTTTGTTTAATTAGTTATTTTAAAGATAATATTTATACCTATTTATATTGCTCAATAATAAATATTACCTTTTATTAATTATTTTATTAACTTTATATAAAAATTTTATTAATTATATATTTTAATGATTATTTTTAGGTTACTATTTATTTTTACTCTTAATAAAAATTACTAGTATTTATTTTTAATTATTTTTTAATAACAATGCTAACAATGATTTTATCATAGTATATATCGTACTACTTTTTTTACTGTTATATTTGTTGTTATTACAATTGTTGTTACAATTCTTAAATTTATTTGTTTACTTTTTTATCTTATTATCAGCCCTCAGAATTAGGGTCAGCATTCAACAATGCCGACATAACTGTCGACCTTAAAGTGTTTGAGGTTAGGTCCGCCTTGTTTATATGTTTTATGGTAAGATCTTTGTATCAATTTTTTTCTTGTCGACCTGACTATCAAATTTTTTCTTGTCGACCTGTCTTGCCGACCTCAAAAGATTGAGGTGGGCAAATTATTGCCAACTCATTTTTCTTAATTCTGAGAGTTGTATTATTGATGTGATTATTTTCAACTATTTATTTATATAAAACATTTTTATTTTTGTATAAAACATTTTTATTTTTATATAAAACATTTTTATCAAATATATTTATTTATATAAAACATTTTTTATTTATATAAAACATTTTAAAAATTTCAAACTAAAATATAATTATTTTAATTATTAGTTTTTTTTATTTAATTTTATTTAATTGTTTATGCGACACTAAGATCGCAAAAAGTGATTAATAATAAAAAAATAAATAAAATTTGATTGTAGATGGTTTCATTGAATAAAAAGTATCATAAGAAAATACAAAATGCGTGGCAAGATTTTTGTGAAGTAGAAAAACAAAGAATGGATGCTAAGGAGGCATAGGGAGAAACAACTAACGCTCTAGTTACTAGTCTGTGTGTAGGACATAAGCAACAAAGAATAAATATTTGATCTACGGATTTAAGAGACTGTTGATGTCTACAGGTGTAATGATGCAGTGCATTGTATGTTCTGTTCAGTCGTCTAGTATAGTCTCGTTATGTTTTCCTTTACTTTCAAACTGAGTGAATAGAAAGCTAAACACACTTACTTCTTGCGGGGCTAGCACATCAGAGCCAGACATAAAATCTACAGAATGGATTTCAATTGATTGAATGCACACATTAGTCACTGTAAGCCACAAGCCATCACTCTTAGCGAAAAGAGCTACTGCCCCCTACTGGTGTGGAATGATGTGCTATGAAGTGATATTTCAGATCAGAGCACATAGTGAACACTCATCCGACGTGCATCGTGGAGCTTCCAAATGAATGTGTGCGTGATTCTAATAAACACATTCATTCGGAATTCCTGATTCTGATAAACAATTTACTTCTGTTTATTATTGTTTATATTATCACACTTTACTTTTTTTCATCTCAATTGTTGTTTTTTTTTGTTGTGTCTATTTCCATTTCTTTTTTGCTTTTATTTGTTGTTTTGTTTTATCTAATATTATTTAATAAATAAAAAATAAACAAATGATCTGTAATACACATTATAGTATATTTATAAAAACAACATTATATGTCAGGCTTTAACAGCTTAGCAAAGTTTTGAAATTGTCATAAAAGAGTTTTGAATATATTTAAGTTTTTTGCATTCATAACTTCTTATAGTAAACGATTCCATTTGTTTACTATTCTATTTATAAAAAAATTGTGTTGACTGTTTTTTTTTTTTTGCTTTTCTTGTCTACATTTTTTTTTACTATTTTATATTACTAATGTAAATTTATGATGTAAGGTTTGCATTATGACCCTGCAAATCTGCATTTTTAGTTTTAAATAAAATCTCGAATTGAAGGGGATTTTGATCTACGAATTGAATTGAATCATAAATCAAATCAGCAATATGATGAAATCCAAATTAAAGCATTCAAAAAAAAAACTCAACTTAAAATTTTTTATTTAAATTGATTTTGGAAGAAATTTTTTTATGGATCAATTTTTCAGCTGTTTTTTGGAAGCAGTATTACAATTACTTTTGATTACAATAACTTTACTCTGGCTGAGATAAATAAAACCATTTTGATAGCATCTTAGCATTGGATATCTAAAAAAAATGACAACACTCAAAAAATAAATAGTGATTCAAAAAATTCAAACCATTTTTTTTTAAATCAAATCTCAAATCGAAGTGATACTTGATTTGCAGGGCCCTAGTTTGCATATTTAAATTTTTATGGTTAAGCAAATAAATTTAAATATATATATATATATATATATATATATATATATATATATATATATATATATATATATATATATATATATATATTTAATAACTTTAAATAAACCTATTTCTTATGAAACCCTTTGTGTTGGAAAAAGATTCTTTTACTTCACATTATTTTTCATTCACATACTTTTTTTTTTAGTACTTCACATACTTTTTTTTTACAGTAAAATATTTATAAAAGACAAATTAGAATTTGATCTCAAAAAAAAAAAAAAAATTATATACAGTTTGTATATTTTTTATTTTATTACAATAAGTTTTTATTGGAATAAAATATATAGCTTAGTATTATGATTGCTGTCGCATTATATAAAATTATTAAAGAATAATATATAAAAACCATCTATTAAAAAGAAACTGTTACAATTGTGACCATTTCTGTTAGCTCTGGTATGCCCTAGAATTAATTATAAATAGCAACAACCTATCAAAAACTTACTAAAACATAATGTTTAAAGTTGGAACACATGACCAGTTAGTAATAAACCTGACTTATTTACTTTGATAACTTAACATGAATAGAAAAAAAAAAAATTAAAATTTTTTAAAATAAATAACTAATTTTTGCTGATTTATAACAAATATGATATAAAAAATTATAACAGTTGTTAACAACTGCAAAATTATGTTCAAATAAAAATAAGGCTTACTTCAGCTTCTTTTTCCGAAATTAGTAAACTCTGTTTAACCAAAGTATCTTCTTTTTCAATTTGCTAACCAATTGAAACCAACAGTAAAGCAAACAAAATAATAATTAAAAATATAAAAATAAACATTTATTTAAATATATGTGTATGTTTGTGTATATATCAGCCCTTGGAATTAGGGTCAAAACAAGGCAATGCTGACCTTAAAGTGTTTGAGTTTGGCAAAAAATCACTACGCTTCTATGTTTTATGGGAACCTCTTTGTGTTGAATTTGTTTTGCTGACCTCATACAGTTTATTGATGACAAGTTATAATTGACCTCAATATTTTACATACATGTTTTGAACCTCATTATTTTACATACATTTGTTTTGAAAATTCTCTCAGAATGAGAGAATTTTCAAAACAAAAATATGTATCTCGTTAAATTTGGTACAAATATATAGAAAGTAGGTTTTAAAGCATACCAGTCATTTTCTGACCACTCTAGACCCTTACTCAAGGCTCATTTTTGTGAAAAAAATGACATTTTTTTGATCAGATTTCAGTGACTTTGAGGGAGGGTCTAATATAAACCAATTTGGCTGAATTAAAAAAAAAGGGCCTACACTACATATCTTTTGCATTTAAAATCATACCTATTTTTGTTTTGGTTTTATTACCGAGCATTTTTCATTCAAATTATCAATAAATTCACAAAATTGTTGAGTTTGTTGTGATACTAAGAAAGCATTTGGAGTATTTTTTCTAATATAACAGAGTATTTGGACATTTTTTCTAATATAACAGGACTATTAAACCAGCCTTCAAAGTGTAGGGAGGCCCATTTTTCAACTTTATATATAGAAAATAAAGGTCCTCAAACAAAAAAAAAAAGTTATAAAATTTTTTTAATAAATTAGAATACTTTTGGTCAAGATTTTTTAAACTTTTTATAATATTTACATTGCTAATAACTGAAAACCCTGCTTTAATCCATGGATGTTTTATTTTCACCATGATACATTCACGTTCAACTAGTCACATACCTATCAACACCTATCAACCTTTAAGTTTGACTTTGAAGGACAATGTAGAATATCCAACTTTTTTGTAATTCCATTTGGTAAATTTGATTGACAATATTTAAAGTTTTGGAAGATATCCATATCCGTTGGAGGTTACATTCCTAAACCATATAGGTTTTTATTAAAATAGCATTAACAATACTATATAAATAGTATAAATAAGCGCTCATTATTTATCTTACAGAGTATAATAGTGCAATGAATTGGTATCGATATTGAGATAAAAATTTTAGTGACCAAGACTTTTTTTTCAGGTAAATACAAAATATCATAAAACCGAAGTGATAACTGTACATTATTTTTATTTCTATGCAACACATACCTGAAGTAGCAGGCGTAGCTTTGTCGATAATATGAAAAATCTTTTTAGAAGATCTAAAATCATATCATATCAATACTTATTCAGTTACTTAAATTTTTATTTTTATTCTTAAAATTCAAAATCAAAAATGTAAATTTTAAATTTTAAATCAATGTAGTGGCTTCATATTAATTGTTTTTTATTTAAAAATAAATTCATTTGAAACTTTTTTGCTTATGCGACACAATGATGATGATGTCATTTAATATTTCGCCATATTAATATTTCATATTAATTATTTTTTATTTAAAAATAAATTCATTTGAAACTTTAGTAAAAGAATATGAAGTGTAATGGTTTGCTATTTATTTTATTTTGAGAAATAAATTTTGCCAATTTATGGATAATTTGAATAATAAATGCTTGGTAATAAAACAAAAACAAATATATGTATGATTTTAAATGAAAAATATATGTTGTGTAGGCCCTTTTTATTTAATTCAGCTAAATTGGTTTATATTAGACTCTCCCTCAATGTCACTGAAATCAGCAATTTTTTTCACAAAAACGAGCCTTGAGAGAGGGTCTATAGTGGTCAGAAAATGCCTTGTATGCTTTAAAACCTACTTTCTATATATTTGCACCAAATTTAATGAGATACGTATTTTTGTTTTGAAAATTCTCTAATTCTCAATCACCCTTATATATATATATTATATATATATATATATATATATATATATATATATATATATATATATATATATATATATATATATATATATATATATATATATATATATATATATATATATATATATATATATATATATATATTAAATTACAGGATGTCACAAATGTCTTGACTATTGTAAATTTTCACACATTTGTGGAATTTGCTGACACTATTATAAGAAAAGAATTCTTTATAAAATGTTTTTTTTTTAAAAAAAATATTTTTTAAAAGGGGGATTTAATGTAACTATTATTTGAGCTCACTTATTTTTATAGTTTTTTAGGAGAAACTTATTTTTGTGCCTGCATTTGGAAATCAATTCCAATTTTTTTGTTTAATAAACATTCTTGGTTTGCATGTGTAATTATTTCAAATTTTTCTTGTAGACATAGTATGCATTTTTTGGAAATATTGTTATATGTAGACACTGTTTTAAGGATGGACCATTTCAGTATAAAATCATCAATGTTTTTATCTTTTAATTCCCAAATATATTTTGACAGCATGATGTCTTTTGAATACTTTTTATTTTTAAAAGATTGCTTATGATTGGCAAAACATTTTTTCCATTCACCCTCTGTTATGCCAATATATTTTTTATCAGGTACATTCTTCGAGGAAGCAACATATTTATATACCACATTTTTCAATAAACAACATCCAGTTATTGAACACTTGTTTTTTTGTTTATAATTACAATTTTCTGTAGTTTTTTCATTTAGGATTTCTTTTTTGTTTAATAAAGCGTTATTGTGATCTTTTATAATTCTTTCTATATTTTTTGTGCAACTGTAGCTAACTTCAATTGTATTTCGATTAAAAGTTTTATGTAATTTAGTAGAGGACAGGAAAAGCTTATCGACCAATTTGAAAAACACTTTTCCTATGTTAGTGGAAACATTTTTGCTATATAGGGGATTGAACCAAATTATAATTCTAGTTTCAGGCACTAACAATCATCAGATGTAACAGCATATATAAATATGTGTGTATATATATATATATATATATATATATATATATATATATATATATATATATATATATATATATATATATCATGCACGGATCTAGGGTATAGCTGTTGTGGCTAAGGATACACCTTAAAATAATCAACAAAATAAAAAATAATATAATATTTCAACATATTTTTAAAGTAAAATTAATATAATTAATTAAGATCAGTTTGTTTTTATTTGTTGTGTAAAATCAGCTTTAAAAATGATTACATGACACAAAAAAATACCGGAATAAAATAAGAGATCAGTCATTGCAAATCGGTTTGTGGCTAGGTCACAAACCGATTTGCAAAAGACTTGATTTTAAATTTGCAAAAGACTTGATTTTAAATTTGCTGAAGACTTGATTTTATGGCATAGGCTGACTATATTATGTTATTTTTTATAGTAATATATTTTTATTGTAAACTTGTATGCCTTCAACACTCATAGCCCATGGCTAGATTGTTTTTTACCTTGTAGCTGTACTTATTTCCTAGTCCTTTTGTGCCCACTTATATTCAAATAAACAATTTTTATTTCCATTTGCTATAAATTTAAAAAATTAAAATATTACATTTTTATTTCTTGAAAAAAATTTTAATCTTCAAATTTAAGCTTCAATTAAAGAGGATCTTATAAGTTGACTCTGTTGTTATTAGAAACGTTTATAATACAATACAGGAGAATCTCCTAAAATTTTGGAGAATCCTTAAACAGTAGAGTTGTAGGAAACATTGTTGAACTACCTAATTTTGGAATTTATGCAGGTGACACTATCTTATAGGGTCATTTAATATCAGACCCTAAAAATGTCACATACATTTCTGAAAACACACAAAATCAATTTTTAGAGTGTTGTGGTTTTTAAGGAGATTTTTATTTCTGAAACTAATAAAAGCAAGTAATTTTAAATTTTAGTTAAATATTAAGATTGTGCCAATCTTAAACAGATGTCTATTGTTATTAGACATATAGACAGTAAACATAACACTCGTGAAAATTTTTTGTTTGTTGACTCTCCTTAATTATTTAAACGTGGCGCCATTAATATAAATATGACAAATATTAATATAAATATGACAAATATTAATATAAATAATCATTATGATAACTATTATATTAGAATATGATAACTATTATATTGAATATATTATAAATTTTTATTTTCTCTTAAACTTTTAGAACAAAAAATGTTAAAATTTTTATTAAACAGATTTCTAAATTGTTAAAACCAATTTTTTAAATTTAAAACAAAAGTACATGTATGCATTTGGCTATTTTCAGGAGCAAAACTTATTACAACAATGTGTTTTTCTTAAGCAATCGTCTTTTTTATAACTGAAATGCAATGCTATCTAGTTTAATCAAAAAAATATAGTAATTTTGTATGATACTTTTGTTGTAAGAGCAAAATTTAAACTCCAGACCTCTGCATTAAAGTTACTTTAACCACTCTACCTTACCTTACCACTACCCTTGCTGGTTGTTGTGGTTAGAGTGTAAGGGTGTAATCATTATTTTTGTTTTATTTTTATTTTTTTATTATTTAGATTTCTCTTATGAGTGTTAATAATACTCATAACTAAAAACTAAATAACAGGACATAAAACTTAACAATAGTAATATACATGAAAAATAATAGAAATACATACATAATTTCCTCTTATCTAAATTTATTATGTTTTAAAAGACTATTTTTAGCACTAGTTTGACCCTATTTAGAATATTGTGGATCTACCACAATGTTCTAATAATTTTATACCACTAAAGAGTTAATTTGGATTGGTTTTCAGCATATTTTCAGCTTTTGAAGAGAGACATTTAAAACATTTTTATAATTTTCTCTTAGAGCATCTTATTGTTTATTTGTTTTAAATGTTAAATAAATTAATTTATTTTCTATTTTGTCTACACTTCATGATCTTTGACTTCTAAAATGTTAAATGTTTTAAAAAGAGCTCTAAACTGAATACAATGTAAACCACTAGATAAAAAATTTAAATATGTGTAAATTTTGTTAGTGTATGCTGCAAAGAGGACTGGATATTCATAAAAAACAAAGATGTAATAAATTAGCTTCCTGAGGACCTTATAGATGGTGAGGCTGTTCAAATCGTTTTTTTTTAATATATACTTATATATAGTAGTATAATATAAGTAAATATTTTCAAAAATAACACAATATAATAATATCATGATATTTTTGAATATATCATAATATTATTATAATGATATTACAATAACAATTGCAGTTATGCAATTAGTAACAAAAATATAAAGGAAAGAATCCAGAAATGGAGGGCTTTTTTTTGTGTCAACAATAACAATACATTTACTACAATACTATTTTTTTTTTGTGTCAACAATAGATTGACGCTTATTAAGAATAGGAAGAAGTTAGAAATGGAGAGCTAACCTTAAGCAGCATTACAACTTACATATGAGGTGCAAAATCCTATGGCTCACCTTCTAGTTAGTGCACTTTGTTAAATAAGTTAGACATTTTCAGTAGGGATGTACCGAAGCTGCAATTTTGCCGAAGCCGAAGCTTCGGCCGAAGCCACTTTGCCGAAGCCGAAGCTTCGGCCGAAGCCGAAGCTTCGGCTTAAGCTATACGTAATTTAAAGCTCAATTTACTTCACCACGGTGCTTTGAATAATCAAGTTGCTTTCAAAATTATATATCAATGTTTTAGGTTTCAATGTTTTGGCCTACATGCCCATTTTAGGAAAATTATAAAACAAAACCAATATTATAAAAAATTTAAACAAATTTTGTACAAAAATTTAGATAGTGAAATTTAGAGTCTTAACTCTATATATCTAGCAGGTATAGGAAAGATTACATCACTAAATCTTAGACATTTACTGATACTTAAGGTAAATTATGGTCTATTCTTTGAAAGAATTTATAAAAATGTAAACACGTAAAATGTAAAAATATAAAAGTAGTCATTATTTTAATTTGAACACAAAATTTGGTATTTGTTTCAAATTTTGTTAAAAAGTTGAATCAGTTGAACTAAGAAGCTATAGTCTATTATTTAGTTAATAAAAATTTATTCAATGAAAGCAGGCATATTACAATTTAAAAATGCAATCTGTTCTCCATGTTCGGGTAATAGTCTGTTTCTTTTTGCTTCAAATATGTTTCCAGATGTGCTAAATAAGCGTTCACTTTTTACAGATGAAGGAGGCGCGCACAAAACTTTCTTTGAAAACTTTGACAAATTCAACTTGTAAGTATCTTTATCAGAGGAAGTGTAACGGTATGCACTCCACCACTTATAAGGGCATTCATTCTTTGGCAGTATTGGAAGGCTCAAGTAGAAGTTGACTTCATCGGTGCTGATACATAAAATATAGGTGATAATTTTAGGTTTAAATTTTTAAAATATTACAATTTAATCAACTAAACAAAATAAAAGAATGCTGTTATCCGTCTTTTGAAATAAAAAAAATGGAGAATGAGAATAGAGATAAAAAAAATATTTAATATTTAATGTATAAACAATATAAAAACCATAAATAGATTCTGTTTTCTTACCATTTTTCCTTGACAGTTAGAGTTTTTCCCATTAAACTAGTGTTTTTTTTCTTTTCTCCGTCCGTCAGAATTTTCTGAATTTTGTAGAGCATACTCATTTGCACCGATTTGGTGGAACAAGCTATATATGTCCATGCTCATTGGTTTGTTTTTTTTTAATGGAGAGCCATGGCCATTAAAATCTGAGTCGGACTCATGAATTTTAGATTCTGAAAATGAACTTAATGATTCTTCTGAGTCTGATCCACTACCTCTTGCTACACCAAATTCAATTTCTTTTACTTGTTCTAAATGAGATTTGGAACAAAAACGGTAGAACTCTAAATGGAGTATTTCTTTAAACATATTATGATTCTTGTCTTCAACAAACTTTAACTTGAAACGAGGATCAAGCATCATCGCGATTTTTAAATCAACATTATCCTTGTATTTTTGAAAACGACAGTTAAAATCTTTCTTAAGTTCATCAACAACAGTTTTTATTTCAGTTGCCGTGTCACAAGCGTAGTCTAGAAACTTTTCCATTGCATAGATAAATGGTATAATCTCTGATATACATGCCGTTTCTTTACTCATGTCTTTTGTAGTACTTTCGAAGTGTTTTAATATGCATACAAGCATTTCAGCAAGTTGCCATTGATTTTCCGTAGGATTTTTTGCATTTGCTTGATTTCTGGTAATGCAATACAATGTAATAGCTTTTTTCTGCTCAATGAACCTTTCAAGCATATAGTATGTCGAATTCCATCTTGTGGAAACATCTTGAATTATGTTATGCTCTGGCAATTTTAGTTGACTTTGAATTTCCTTTAGTTTAGCCACAGCACTAGATGAGTGGTGGAAATGTCCTGCTAATGCTCGAAAAACAGCTATTGTATCACTTGCTGTTCTTTGTTCTCTAAAAATCTTTTTCTGAATACAAAGTTGTAAAGTATGTATCAGACATGGAAGATGTTTATCGCCTAAATTTGACTCTTTAATGGCAGCCATTACATTGGCTGCATTATCAGTTAAAACTGCATGAATTTTTTCATGGGGAATTTCCCATGATTGTAGCGCTTCATTTATGAATTTACTTATATTGTGCCCTGTGTGCGACTCAGGGAAGTGTGTAACTTGTAAGATGAAATGTTTAACTGTAAACTCATGCGTTACAAATCTAGCTGTTAAACTGTAATACGATTGAATTGTGTGCTGACAGGTCCAACCATCACTAGTTAAACTTAAGAAATCTGCTTGATCAAGCTCATATTTTACTTTGGCTTTTATGGTTTCATACATCAGTAGAATGACTTTTGTGGAGAAATACTTTCGAGTAGGTATTGTATAGTTTGGAGCTAAATTTTTTAAAAGTCGGGTAAAACCTTTATCTTCAACAATACAGTATGGCTGCAAGTCTAAACATATCATTTCTCCAATAAGCTTGGTAATAGCTTGAGCCTTAGGATTATCAAGTTGCCACAATTCTTTTCTTTGCAAAATCTCCCGCAGTGAGACCTGAAACAAATTCAACGAATTAAAAAAATTACTTAGCAACTTGTAACTAACAATGGCCAGCGACGGATCTAAGTGGCGGATAGAGGTATGTATCTTTCCCCCCTCACCAGTACATTTATTATAATATTATAAGCTTAGATAAGTTAAGTTAACATTTTTTTATACAAAAGATAATTTTTCGACAAGATATGCCCCCATCCAGTCACAAAATCATGAATACTGAATAGTAAATGAATTCAGCTACAGTTAGCTGAGTTACCTGTGTTGATGCTTTTTGAAAAAAGGCAATTGTGTTATTAGACACACGCGAGCTTCCCTGCGTTTCATCTGTGGCAGTGCTGGTAATGATTTGCACTGATTCAGCAGAGCTTGTTCTATCTGAGCATATTGTTCGAGTAGTGCAAAATTGTTTTATAGACTTTTCATTTGGATTTGGTAAAGATTCGTGGTTAATAATTTTCTTCTGAGAAAGAATCATGCTATGTATATTGTAATGTACTTTTTTCAGATGGTTTTGTAAATTTGTTGTTGACATGTTGTGTGCGTCTTTACTTCCTCTAGACAAAATCTTCTTGCAAAGTATGCAGATGGCTTTGCCAACATCTTCATCACTCACTTTAAAATAATTCCATAAGGGATTTTTACTTCGCGATGAGGTAGCCATAATGCGCTAATGGATAACTTAAAGTTATAATAACAATTCTGAAAATTGAAATAGAAAGTTTAATTATTTTCTTACCTTTAATAATATTTATTGAAATAAACAATATTCGTTCAATTTTTTGATTCAAATATTATTTGAATTAAAAAAAATCGAAGTCGTAAATAACCAATTAACCTATATTTGTAGAGCAGGTATATTTACTTTTACTAATGATCCAGCGTACAAAATCAAAAACAAACGCAATTGACTTACATTTCAATTGTGCTTTTCTGTGTAGTGTCTTTTCTGTGTAGTGTCTTTCTGTGTAGTGTCTTTCTGCGTTCTCTCTGTGACTTAGTAAAACAAACTTTCTGAATAAAAATTGTTTCGAGCGTTAAAATTAACTTATTGTATAGATTTTTAAAAATTTCGAGAATAGTTAACTCTCTTAACTTTCGTGCGCTATGTTTTAGTTACATCTAAGTAATTTTAAATGAAGATTTATTTCCAGGTTTAATTTTTAATTTTAATTTAATATTAAAAAATATATAATTTAACATAACTCGGATTTTAGAAGTTGATGTTAACTAATAACTAAATGCTGAAAAAATTAAATTTTAATAATTTTACATTATTTTACTACCAACTAATGCATAAATAAATTTTATTGCTAAGCTCGAGTGATCATAACTAAGTATTAGGGTTATGGTATTTAATTATATAAAGTTTACTATAATGTTACAGTTTAAATCAGCTTATATTGAGTGATTATAAAAAAATCAATGTGTTTCATTAAGTAACTTTACTTTCTATCCGCTATCGTGCCGTTTTTAGCCGCCCTACACGCGGCCTTGCCACCTCCAAAAGCCGTTGCTGGATTCATTTAATCTTCGCAACTGTATAAATCAGAGGCTTATTTAAATTTCTCAGAAGAAGAAAAAAAAAAGAAGAATTTTGAACGTTCAACTACGTTATATTCGGAAAACAGACAACGTGTGAACGTTTAAAAAATGTCTTCCTCAGTCGAATGCCAGCTTAGTAATGTCCATTTTTTTGCCGAAGCAAATGATTCGGCAAAAAACGCCCATGGCTTCGGCCGAACCGAAGCTTCGGCAAAATTGCCGAAGCTTCGGCAAGCCGAAGCCGAAGCTTCGGTACATCCCTAATTTTCAGTGAAGAACCCAGAACTTATTTGAAGATACCATTTTTTTCTGGCAACATTGAGGAGGGAAGGGGTGTTTTTGAGCTGCCTCCTCCTTCTCCTCTTTCTCCCCCGTCTCTCCTAGTTAAACGAGTGCCGCAACAATAATATTTAATAATTATTTTTGTGAATACATGTACTTACTAGAGGACGATGTTACTGTAGATACAATAAGAAAGCTACTTAAGACTTTAATTAACGCTTTTGTTGCAAATACCACTCTATAAGTAAATAGTTATTAAAAATTGTTTAAAGTATTTTAAACATTACAAACAAACTATATTTTTGTAAATTTAATTTTGATTTAAATGTTTAAATACCTTAAACCATTTTTAATCAATATTTGCATTAAATAATGTATTTAATCACGTAATATTTGTAAAATTAACAAAATAGTTTTAGGTCTTGTATTTAAATTAAAAACATAAACATTTAATAAAAAAATTTGTTAAGCTAAGCGAAAAAATAGCATAAGCATTTAATAAACTTATTAACTAATTATTTAATTTTAAAATTTTGATTTAGATATAAGTAAACCTGTTCATTTAACTTTTACTAAAGGTAATAATTTTTAAAGTGATTTTAAGGCGCATTTTAAATTAAAGATAATTAAAGAAGAGATAATTAAGGTAAACAAAATTTTAAAAATGAAATGTTTTTTTGAATTAAAAGCATATTTATTGTTATCTAGCATAGTTATTAAAATCTTTATTTTTGACTATTTTCAAGAATATTGAAAAAAAAAAAAAAACTTTCAGAAAAAGTTTACGTTTCATTTTTTCCTCACATAAATTAAAATAGCAAGCTAAAGATCAAATGTTCAATCATTCAAAAATTTAGTTTGGGCGATAGTTACGTCACTTAGTAACCGAAGGCAAATTAGGTAGTTATGGGAAAAAGTTTTTACATTTTCTTTTTAATTCATTTTGTTGTCTTGAAGAAAAAATGAATTAGCTAAAATTAACTGAAAATTATTTATATAATACTGCATTAAAAACTTTGTTTTGAATTTTGATTTTGAATTTGTTTTCTATTTTTCACAAAAAAGCAAAAGAAAAATTAAAAATAGTAATTTTTGGGCGCTTTTTTTTGGACGCCCCTACCGGTCCAATGGTACTAAAACACATCTTGGTTCTTCACTGATTTGATAGTTTCAAAAATTCTATAAGATACACAAAGCTTATGAAGCAAGCTTATGGATAAGACCAGCATGGCAAACATTATCAAAAGCTTTAGATATGTTAAGACCAATAGCTCTTGCTTTGCTGCCCTTATCTAATATACAATAGAATCTTTTAGTTAGAGTAGTTAGCGAGTCAGCCCTAGAATGAAAAGATTGAAAACAATATTGATTGTTAGAGAGTAAATTAATAGATCAAGATAGAATACTAGAATTTTTTTAATTAAAGATTCAAAGACCTAATATTAGAGAGAAGACTAATCGGACAAAAGTAGAGGGGGTCAGAATGTTTTTAACAAGTTTTTTTAAATTAAAAAAATATATATATATATAAAAAGAAAACCTTAGCATGTAGTTCTGCAACTTTGGACTTTGAAGCAACATTATTTTCGGTCAATGATTGTGTGTATGCCATTAATTCTTGTTGCTTTTCTTTGTAAAATGCAATTTCATTTTCAAGTTCATTGATATGCTTTTTGTTAATTTGGTCTTGCTGCAATTGATCCAACAATTCTTTTTCTAATCTAATAGCAAAAATGTTGTTAATATTATTTACAACATTATAACCATTTTTTAATTGTAATTAAAATCAAAACAAACAAATAATTTTTAACGTAATCAACTAAGTTTGTCATTACAAGTCTTGTACTACTAATTTTATATTAGTTATCTTCAGAGCATTTAAAAGATATCAAATTCTATTTGTAGAAGATAATTTTAACTTGTAAAAATTTCAAAGTTTCAATAAAGTTTCTGTTGGCGATAGGGATTTTATCTGTTGTTAATTCAAAGAAATCGAAAAAAAATGTGTTTAATGTAAATTCGAAAAGATCTATAAATGTGTTTCTCATAAAACATAATGTCCTTAGTTTATATGTAGTTTATATGCAGTTGAATAAGACTAATGGTGGAGGTTTTTTGCATACAAAGATTATATGTAGTTTTACCAGACTACTGGTAAAGAACTTTATTTATAAATTGATTTATATGTTAATTATAAAGAGTTGAACATTAAAGTTTTTTAAAAAAGTAAATTTGTACTGATTGCAAAAGTTTTAAATGCTTTTATGTTCCATGTCAATATATGAACTCTAAAGAGATTTTGTCTTTATGTTTTGTTTCAACCTTAGTTTTGAGGAGACTAATATGTTTATTTTATTACATAACTCTAGTAAAACTTCATCCATATACCATTTAACACTTTTTGAAGGTTTAGAAAAACTTTGGCATGTTACATTAGCTTATATGTAAAAAATGACAATTGGATATTAATACTCTATTTGAAAATTTAACAAAAGAAGTAAAATTTATGTTTGTATACTCAACAGTAATTTTTTGTACAGTTACATAACTAACACTGACATTAATAGCAAGAAAAAGTATTGAAGCCAAATAAGTTAAGCAAATAAATGTGGATATGGCATTAAGGTAAATGCAAATGATTGTGTCATTTTTTTTCTATTTGTAATAATTGAAAAAAAAAAATGATTTAAAAAAATCAAATTAAGTGGTAAAAGTTTAACGTTTTAATTGAAAAAGAGTTATGAAGGAAAGACAATACATTTTTTAGAAAAAAGAGCAAAGTCATTTGTCATGTTATGTGTTTTTGTTATTATAAAATGTGTTTTGTATGTATAAACTGTTGAAGTATTCAATGTAAATTTGCATGTGTGCAATTCTTCTTTTTTCTACCGTTGGTTCTCCATTAAGTTGTGGTACGTTAAGAGTCAGTCTATCAGGTAATAAATTTACTATATCAAAACAAATGTTTAAGCTAAATTTTAAATGAGGAAAGATTTCTAAATGTGTTTCTCGTCAAATGTAATGTCACTGTTCTAAGAGACATTAATACATTGTTTACATGCAGTTGTACCCAGACTACTAGTTAAGCACTTAAAATATGCAAATGTAAATTTTAGGACATGTTCTTAAGTCATAGCTGCATTTTTTTTTACCAACTTGTTAATAATAAAGAGTTAAACATCTAAGTTTTTGTAAAAAGAAAATTTTTACAGCTGTTTTACAGAACTAGCTTACACGTTCCACACAATACTATGAACTCTGAAGATGTTACTTTTTAACCTAAATTTTAGGGCTGATTAAGATAACATCAAAATTTTTCATTACTTAACTCTAATAATACATCATCCTTTAAACATTTCGTAAAAATTTAAAAAAAAAGTTTGGCAGGATATTTTAACTTTTTTCTAATGTAAAATAAATTAATAGCATAATAACATAAAACTTATCAAAATTTGTTGCTTTATTTAATATTATTTACCATCAGTTGCTATTAGACATTTTAGTACCAATTATAGAATACAATAACCAATTTTTTGTTCAGGTTAACTGCTATATATCAACAAACATGTGTTTTATATGTATTGACTCTTTAAATTGAAATAAACTTTAACATGAATTTGTATGTTTTCAATTTTTCTAGTTTCTACCTTTTTACACTTAGTTCTTCATAAAGGTGTCATAAGTTAAGAGTTATTCTTTTTGGTAATCAAATCACTGTCAAAACACACTTGCGGACACAAGGTCATAGAATTTTGCTTATAGTTATATATATATATATATATATATATATATATATATATATATATATATATATATATATATATATATATATATATATATATATATATATATATATATATATATATATATATATATATATATATATATATATATATATATACATATATATACATATATATATATATATATATATATATATACATATATATATATATATATATATATATATATATATATATATATATATATATATATATATATATATATATATATATATATATATATATATATATATATACAGCCTTGGTCGGGAAGCGGGTGCGATCGCACTCGAAAATTGACCACGGAAATAACATTTAGTTGTGAAAAACCGGCCAGTTTTTTTTAGCCGTTTTGAGAACATTTCAAAAACAATCAAAAAAGCGCAGTAAGATTAACTGGACCGATAAGAGACAGTTAAAAAAGAAAACTTCTAACGTGAGAAAACTTTAAGCAAAATAAATACGATTAGAGCAAATATTTTTAAAACGTCGCTCTTTTATAATTTTATTTAAAAAGTTAAGCAACATTTTTTATATAAAGTAACAACGTACTATTAATGATTGTTCAATAAGGAAACAAATATTCTTCAATTTATCAAAGAGTAAATATAATTTTTATTTATATACTTATGTCTTATTTCCAGTGGTAGATTATAGAGGTGGGGGTGGGGTGGGGGTAGGAGAAGGGCTATAGCCCCAAGACTCGCAATGTTAGGGGCCGCAAAATAGTCTAGAGGACCATTCGGTATTTTTTTTTAGTCATTTTTACGCTATGGCATATAAAAAAGGAAACTAAAATAATGCGGCCCCCGGCCCTGAAAAGTCCAATAAGATTCAACCAATAAAACTAACGCTAGATCATTTATTTATGAATAAAAAAGTTTTTTTAATAACTATTTTATGCTTCGCGTAGTTTGAAAAGTTTAACACATTTGAAACAATTCTTCTTAGTAAGATGAACAAATGAATTAATTAAATCATTGAGTTACTGTAGAAATTCAATTAGCTAGAAATTAACTAGAAACGTTAAATTTCTTTGTGAGGAGGAGGCGGAACTGCTTCACAATACCGCTGATGATGTTTAGTGAGTGGGCTTTAAAATTTTATTTAGTATTTAAAACAGAAAAAAGTAACTTCAAGTTTAAGTATATTGAGTTTGTAAGAATAGCTGAAGCAAAAAATAGTAAACCAATTTCTAAGAACTTGAAAACATTTCTTTCTTGGGGGAAAGAATCAGTTATCAGTACACTGAGGAAAATGGATTAGTGAAAAAAATTATTTGTATTAACTTGGATGATTATTAATAATTTAATTGAAAACGCAGTTATTATTGAAATTTTTTTTGTTTACAAAATCAATTGCACAAATTGCTTTAAAAGATTACATTTGAATAAAATACACATACAAAAAATTACATAGATAAAAACACATTACATACATAAAAATACGCTACATACATAAAAAACACATCCCTTCTATATAAAAATAAGAATATACTAATAAAATCTATATTACGTTTACAAAACATTGACATGTTAAGAAATATAAATTTAAAACATTTATTTTTGTAAACAAATAATGTTTTAAATTTATTAAACAAAAACATTTAAAGTTTTGTAGATGTGACTCCGAGAATTAAAGTAATAGTGCGTTTGATAGTATTAATCTTAAAACAATTTATGCTAAAAATCTCAACAAAAACATAACAAAACTCAAATAATAGAATTTTTTAAAATATTTCAACAGAATACTCTAGAACACTCGGTTGGTATTTTTGGAATACTCTAGAAATTTCGGTTAGTGTTTTTGAACCAATAGAATTAGTTGTTCGTAGATTTGGCGGGTTTTTTGTGTTCGCGAATATTCTTTTTTTTATTTTTCCGCACAAAGATGTTTGAGTTTATGTATGTTTCCATGTATGTCCGTAAAACAAAATATATTGAAATTTACGATAAAATAATAAACTTAACTATTATTTTGCGGACAAACAAGGAAACATACATAAACTTGAATGATCTCAAAACGACTAAAAAATCTGGCCTGTTTTTTGCAACTAAATATTATTTCCGTGGTCAGTTATCGAGTGCGATTGCACCCGCTTCCTTACCAAGCCTGTATATGTTTTCAACTTAGTTTCTCCGCGCAGCAGCCTTGCTTGTCAAGGTTCGTGTTTCGGAGTTAAAGAGTTGAGAGAGGGTTGTACCACGAAATACAACAAAAAAAAAAAAAAAAAAAAAAAAAAAACACAAAAAAAAAAAAAATGAGTAGCCTCCTCGACTGTAGTGGCCCCCTCGGGCCTTGGGGAGGTGAATAATGTAAAAAAAAAAAAAAAAAAAAAAAATATGTGTTATATACACGACAAATATATATATATATATATATATATATATGTATATATACAACAAATATATATATATATATATATATATATATATATATATATATATATATATATATATATATATATATATATAATTATATGTATGTATGTATGTATGTATGTATGTATATATGTTATATATGCGACAATGTTTTCTTATATTATTAAATATCAAAGATTAAAATAATCCAAATCAGCTCTTGCTTACAGTTGCTTTTATTTTGAAAGTATTGCAAATTGCCTAGGTTACCTATTACAACCAATAAGCAATATTCTCAAACTTAAAATATTTTAGTGAATTATATAATTGTATATAATTATATAATTATATATGGGAGTAATTAATATAAAGTTCTGAAAAAAATCAGGGAATTTTTAAAAATATTTTTCTTGCTGAATGATTGGATAAATATGAAAAAAATCATACTAAGTTGTTAATATTAAATTATTAATATTATATTACCAGGTTATATTATGTAGCTGTTATGAAAAAACAGTTATAAAAATCTGACGTATGAGGATCACATCAAAGTCAAGTTTCACTCTCTGGTTTATATTT